CCCAATAAAGGCATATCTCTACCATTTTCCATATCCTCCACAACAATCTCCCTTGCATTACCCAAGTCAAAAGCAACAGTTGTATCATTTGGATTTGCAGAATCATAATCCTCACCATAACAGAAGAAGATTCACCATTTCAATAACCTTTTCAGGTAATATTTGCTGGAATTGTACAGGTAAATTCCTATCATTATCCAGTTCCTCCATTACAACCTCCTCATTCAGCACAGCAAAACTATTTTCCACAGCAGTAGTTTGATTCATGGATTTCTATCTATATTCCTTCCTGGGATGCACATTCAGGCCATCTATATCCACAGCTTTTCCTTTCTTCTTCCTCCATTCCTCATCATGACTTAAAACATTCCTAGTTGCTTGCTTATTCTCAGAGGCATCTCCTTCCACTCTCTTCTTCCTTCTGCACAACGTTTCATCATGCCCTTGCTTAAGACAAGCAGGACAATATTTATATTCCTTTTCATATACTATCCTCCGCCAACGACCACTGACTCCCCCCATGTCTAACCAGAATCTCTTAGGATTACTGGCCAGAAGATTCATTTCCACACAAGCCCTGGCTACACCAGGCCTAGAGAGATTTAGAGTAGCATTGTCTATCACCAAAATTCTACCAACTGGACTCAATATGTCCCTCAGACTCTCTCTATTAAACAGATGGATTGGAAGACCTGGCAAGGATACCCATGCTGGTACAACAGGAGGTTCAATCCCAGGATAAAATTCTGGGAACCACTTGAAGAATCTGAAGAGGTAACCCTCAATGTATGTAGTATCCTTTAGCCACACTTTTACATAATCCTCATATAGAGAAAATCTAATCAGTACATGCCTCGGATCAAGCACTCCTACAGAGAATTCCCCTTTCAATAACCATCTAGAATTGATAAACTCCTTTACCACACCTAGTGAAGGTTTACCATAGGCACATTTGCCAATAAGAGTCTGATTAAAACCTTTGGAAAGCTCCATAGTTTCAACAGGGGACCAATACATCCCAAGTTCCCCTTTATTAAAAATAACTCTCTTAGCAGGCTTCAAAGGATTCATAGAATTCAGGGAACCAAATAGAATTGGAGAAGAAGGAATATGAATGCCAGGAGGATTCTAAGCGTTCGATATAACAACAGGAACCTGAGTATCTCTTTCAGAAATCGAGATCTAAGATTTTGGCAGAATTCGATCCATCGAAGGATTTTGAGAAGGCAAAATAGGCGGGGAAATCAAAGAAGATTGGGAATGTAGGTTAACTCCCTGAGTGTTTCGAACATTTGAAGAATCAACAGGAATCTGAATTCCTAATCCAGAGGAAGAACATTGATTATTTGTTGAAGTTGACACAGCCGAAGGAAGAACAGAGGCGAACTGAACAGTCGGTGTGTTTCGATTCAGATGAGAAATCAGAGGCATAGAAACGGTGTTATTACATCCCAAAGGATCAACAATTGTCAAGGAATTAATCTCTGAAGCAGCAGGAATTGTCAGAAAGTTTTCCACAGATGGAGTTTTCTTGAACGAGGCAAAATTTTTTGTAATGTCAGGAGGTTTTGGGGGAATCTGATGAGTTTCGTGGCCAGATTTCATGCTAGCACAATCAAACCGGTAGGAATTTCAACGAATTCACAAAGAAATAACAAAAAATGAGATAAAAACAAAGAAGATCTGAGAAAGAATGAACAGTTTCTAGAGATAAGTCAGACCTTCTCTCTCTAGAACGAAATAACTGCCTCTAAACCCTAAACCCTAAACCCTAAACCCTAAATCCTAAACCCTGGGTAGTGCTTCTGGGAGTTGCCCTCTATTCTGCTAGTGTGTTTTGGTGCCTTGTTGGGTTTATGTTTAGACTGTTGGTTTTCTTCTCTGGGTGTTACATGAATGAGATGGTGCAATAGTGGTCATGGTTTTAAAGTTTCAGATTTCATTCTCATTATCTTTCATGATCTGGAATACATTGTTATTCTGTGTGATCATCTGTAAGGCGTGCATTATGTGATTTTTCAGTTGATGGTGAGGGTCTCTGGGATCTGTGTTGATTTAATTGGGGCTGGGTCTTCTGGTTTTGCTTGGACTGCTGATCTATGGTGGCCTCTTCTGGATATCTTATTTTTTGGGGGGGCTCTCTGCATCCATTGGATGCCACTCAAGGCACAGCTGCTACATCAACAGGAGCAGCACCATGGGGAGCGCAGGAATCATCTTCCTTGGACTATCGTCTCTATCCTTCTTGCTGGCATTTGCTCTCCTCTGCTTTAACTTCATGTTCTCCACTTCCTCCCATTTTCGTTTCATGGTGGGGGGTCTTAGAGGATTATCTGTTCAAGGCTGCCTTTTATAGAGGAGTTGGGTGGCTTTTCAGCTGCCTTCGCTGAATCTAGTTTATTGTTGGAGGGGATGTATTTCGGTAAGCCTCATCAGCTTCCCAATGCATTTTCTTCTCATTCATTGTCCTCAGCTGTGGTTTTCTTTGGCGTGCTTCTTTGGATGATATGGCTCCCTCAGCTGCTTTTGCTCGGTTTACACTCCTGCTATTTTTGCTCCCTCAGCTGACCTCTTCTATTTTTGTTGTTGTTTGCTGGTTCTCATCTTTTCCCATGCTGCACTGTCTCACCTGGTTCCAGCTGAGCCCTCAGTTGGTCTTTCGTTATCCAACTGGTCTCTCATCTGGTTTCATTCGATCTTCTCTTTCTGGATGGATGCTGGAGACTCTTGACATTATGATGATTTTTTCCTTTTCCTTGTCTTGTAGGATTAAAGCCTTCTAAGGCTGTCCCCCTTTGTATCTTTTTGTCTTTCCTCTTTGGTTCTTGTAATTTTCTCTTTATATATGGCATTTTATTCTTCCAACAAAAAAAAAAGGGTTTAGGGTTTAGGATTTAGCAAGCAGTTATTCTATTCTAGAGAGAGAAGCTCTGACTTCTCTCTAGAATTATTCCTTTGACTTTCTTTGATTTTTTAATTCAATTTCTTGATTCTTTGTCAGATCCAATCCGATTTGATCCTTATTTTTCTATTTCTACATGGAATCGAATTCAATCCAGCATCCAATTCCCCTAAAACCACTAGATATTCAGAGGAATTTTGCTTCTCTTTTTAAGAAACCCTCGGACCTTGCAAAAAATGGGATTTCTGGTTTTGATGAAAATTCTGGAAAGAATCTTTTGTCTTCAGCGAATTGTGTGGTTAATCAGTCTTCTATGCCTCCGATCTTGCCTTTGGTATCTCAGTCGATTCACTTTCCCCATATTTCTCAAGATCCAGGCATTTCTCATAGATCTTCAAACCCTCAGATATCTCGATCTTCTTCTCTTCCTCAAATTAACTTTCTTGGCCAAGATTCATCGGGGATTCGGTATCCTTTCACGATTCAGAGTTCTATGGTTCCTCAAATTTCTTTGGATTCTCACCTTTCTGTTCCTCAAGAGTCTTCGATCGCGAATGTCCCTTTGACTGATTCTGGTAATTCATCTCTGGGGAATGGTTTGTTAACTTTGGCTGGTGCTCCCAAATCAGCGAAGAGGGTTGTTTACAACAATGGCGAACCGGGAATGTATTGGACGTCTGAAGAAACCCTAGAGCTGTCGAAGGGTTTCAGTCAAACCCTAATTGGGAAATGCGCATATGGTAAGCATTCACTGGGGGTCATCAGAGAGTTTATTGCTACAAAGTGGCTTCCCAAGGGTGAATTCTCAATAGGAATTTTAGATCCAAGGCACATACTCATTCGTTTTAGTCTTCTGGAGGATTATGTGAAGACATAGCTGAAATACGCTACATATATAAAAGGTTTTTTGTTCATATTTTTTAAATGGGTCCTACAATTTCTCCCAAGAATCGAACCTCCAATTATTCCAATGTGGATATCGCTGCCTGGACTTCCTGTTCATCTCTTCAACAGAGAGAGTCTTCGAGATATTTTGTCCAATTGGGAAAATATTGGTGATTGATAATTCAACTTTGCAGCTGACTAGGCCAGGGGTGACTAGGGTTTGCATTGAAGTTAACTTGTTAGTGTCAAATCCTAGAAGATCTTGGCTTGACATGGGGGGGAATAGTGTTAGATGGCAAATAATTGTATATGAGAATGATTGCAGGTATTGTGCTGCATGTTTAAAACAGGGGCATGATGGAAATGCTTGTAGGAAGAAGAGGTTTGTTAAAGGGGATGAGAAGAAAGGAAGTGGGTAGAATGTTGAGGCAAATCTGCAGAAAGAGGTTAATGTTCAGAGTGGAGCGGATCATGTGGTGGTTAATATTGCTGATAAGGGAAAATGAGTTGTACTGAATATGCAAGGAGAAAATCAGAGACAAGTTTTTCAAAGAAAGGAGATTGTTCATAAGTCGGGGATTGGGAATAGATTTAGTCCTCTGGTTCTTGAAGAACAGAGTCATGTTGTGGAAAGTGGAGAAAATTTGAATGAGCTAGTTGCACGAATGGGGGAAAAAAGCTATTCACGTGAAGTAGAAGAGGAGGTTCCTAATGTTTATGGTAGAGAAAATGTGGAAATTCAAGGGGGTGGATAAAATGAATAATCAGATTGCAGAATTACATGTTACTATTGAAGTTGATCAGGGTCCTGAGTTGCAGGAGAGAGTGTCAAATTCAGGGGAAGATAATTTTATATTTCAAAGTGCTGTAAATGCCTCAGTGGTTGTGAGGGGTGTGCAAGAGACTGATTCTTGTGAGGAGATTAGGGAACCAGATTTACCAGAAATTCAGGGGAAAGAAGAAGAGGTATCAGTTACGTTGATGGGAAAGGAGGGTAGAGATGATTGTGTTTTGTTATTTGAAAAAGAAGCTTCTTTTCGTGTTTCTGAGAAGTCTTCTTCTTTTACAAGAAATGAGGGAGGAAAAAGGGGAAAGATGAGAGACAAGGAAACAGGGGAGGGAATGGATGAGATTGTGTGTTGTTTAAACAAACAAGTGTCTCTATCCTCAGATTCTTCTTTTTTTGTGGATAGACAGTATGATGTTAGACACTTGATGAATGTTACTCAGGATGATAACGATGGTTTAGTAAGGGGAAATGAGCTGCTTGAGAAAGGTTTTTTATCTAACCAAGATAGTTCGAAGACTTGGGCGGATTTATCGGAAAGATTTTCTGATGATGATGAGGTCCATGGTTTGGAAGTAAGGTAGAGTCCTGAGGTTAATCCCGAAAATATGTCCTCATTATGAATTTTATAATGTGGAATGTGAGAGGGGCAGGAAATGAAAGTATGAGAACCAGATTAAAAAAGCTTGTGGTGATGAATAATGTTTGTCTTTTGGCTGTGTTGGAACCAAAAATGTTGTCAGTAAGGATGAGATCCTTTTCTGTCTCAGTAGGTTTGCGTTTCTTTGTTGCAAATACTCAAGCTGAGAAGAACATATGGTTGTTTTGGAAAGAGGGTGTGAATGTAAAGGTGATTTTGGAGCATGAGCAGGCTTTTACTATTTCTGTTAGTTTTTTGGATTCAGATACAATTCTTGTGACAATTGTGTATGCGTGTTGCGATTACTTGTTAAGGAGGCCTTTATGGCAACATATACAAGTAATTTCTTCTTCTTTTTCTTTGCCTTGGCTACTAATGGGAGACTTTAACACAGTGTTGTGTTCTGTGGAGAGATTAGGGGGTGCTTATCCCTCTGTTGTTGCGATGGAGGAATTTGGTGATTGTATACACTCGGCTGGGCTGGTGGATTGTGTTTTTGAGGGAAGTAGTTACACTTGGAGTAATAATCATCACAGGGGAACAAGAATGTGGCAGTGTTTAGATAGGGTTTTTTTAAATCCTATTTGGACTGCTAGGTTTGATAACTCTCAGGTGGTACATTTTGCGAGAGGAAGTTCAGACCATTGTCCTCTGTTGGCAAAGATCATGGAAAAAGAAGGGCAGAATAGAATTTCTTATTTTAAATTTTAGGATATGTGGACTGAGGAGGCCTCTTTTTTGCCTCTGATTGTGGATGCGTGGCGTGGCTGTTTTTCTAGTAATCCTATTGAGGATTTATTTTTAAAGCTAAAATTTCTTAAAGTTCGATTGAGATGGTGGAATAAAGAAGTTTTTGGGAACATTTTTGAAAAAATTAAGTTACAGAAGTTGGAAGTGTGTAATGCTGAAAGAACACTAGAATCTGACTATTCAGAGGACAGTTTTTTGATACTGGAGAATGCAAGAAAGAGTTTGGATGATACTTTGCGGCTGGAAGAAATGTTTTGGAGGCAAAAAGCAAATGTAAAGTGGGCTCTAGAAGGGGAAAGGAATACAAAGTTTTATCATGCTACAACAAAAGGGAAGGCTGTCAGGAACAGAATTAAAAGAATTAAAAGCGAGGATGGGGTTTGGGTTTGCTCTGAGGATGAGATTGCTGATCAAGTAGTGTCCTTATTTGCGTCCTTATATAAATCTGAGGATCATGTCCTGAATGATGTACTGTTTGATGTAATTCCGAATCTTGTAAGTGATACAGATAATGAGTCGTTTACTTGTCTTGCTTCCATGGAAGAATTGAAGGGTGTGGTGTTTTCAATGTCGGTGGAAAGTGCACCAGGAGCAGATGGGTTCTCTGGGAAGTTTTTTCAGGTTGCTTGGGAGGTGATTAAGGCAGATTTGTTAAAGGCTACAAATTTTTTTCTAAAAGGCGGAGTAGTGCCGAGGTCAGTGAATGCCACTTTATTGGCATTGATCCCAAAGAAATTAAATCCAACAAGCTTTGCAGAGTTTAGGCCTATTAGTTTATGCAACTTTTTGTATAAGATCTTTACAAAGTTGCTTGCTAATAGGCTAGTTGTTCTTTTGCCTTCTTTGGTATCGGATGCTCAGCATGGTTTTGTGTAAGGGCGAAGTATAGGGGAATGTATTTCATTGGCTCAGTACATGGTCTCTGAACTGGACAGAAAAGTGGAGGCAGGGAATGTAATAGTTAAGCTTGACATGATGAAGGCGTATGATCGTATTGAGTGGGATTTTCTGAAAAATACTTTGAGGTGTTTTGGTTTTTCTGATCTCTTTGTGTCCATTATTGGAAATTGCTTGAGTAATCAATTCATATCAGTGTGTTTAAATGGTCAGAGAAAAGGTTTTTTTCCCACATCACGGGGGTTGAGGCAAGGGGATCCAATATCCCCGTCGCTTTTTATTTTGGCAGAGGAGGTCTTAAGTAGGGGTCTGTCGAAGTTGTTTATTGAGAGGAAGATTAAGTCTTTTCATACTAGGAGAGGGGCTTTAATGGTCTCTCATTTGCTCTTTGCTGATGATACGTTGCTGTTCTTGAAAGGAAATAAAACTTCGATTGAGATTTTGTTTTCTTTTTTGAGCAAGTATGAAGAATGTTCTAGGCAGAGGATTAGCAGACCGAAAAGTTCTATGTAGTGTTCTACAAAGATTTCTCAGGCAAGAAAAGTGATTTTATCGAGAGTTGCTCAGATTCCTATAAAAGAATGTCCTTTTACGTACTTGGGTTGTCCTATGATTAAGGGAAGGAGCAGAATTAGGGATTTTGAAGACCTATTTCTTAAATTTAAAGCTAAGCTTGAAGGCTGGTATGCGAAATTGCTGTCCAATATGGGAAGAGTAGTTTGGTGCAGACTGTCTTAAATGCAGTACCAGTGCATCTACTGTCTTGCTTAAATCTACCTAAAGGTATTTTAACTAGGATTAATTCTTTGATGGCCTCTTTTGTCTGGTCTGGTAAGGAGGGAGTTAGGAAGAGACATTTGGTTTCTTGGGAAGATATAACAAGGACAAAGCAGGAAGGGGGCTTGGGAATTAGGAAATTTGAGGATGTTCAAGCTGCTTTCCGTATGAAGCAGGTCTGGAGTATTTTGCAGGGGAAGTCTCCGTGGGCTAAGGTTTTCTCTGCAAGATTTTTAAAAAATTAGCATGTGTTGAGGCATTCAGGGCAAGGGAAAGCCAAGGTTTTTCGAATGTTGAAACCATGGTTTTCGTCTGTGGTTTCTCATTCTCGTTTCATTGTTGGAAATGGGGAGCTAGTGGATTTTTGGTGTTCTAATTGGCTTAATGTTGGGCCGTTGTTGGACAGACTTGGTGTTATGCCTCAAACTTTTCCACGAGTTGCAGAAGTTTGTACAGAAAGAGTTTGGCAGTGGCAGAAGTTGGGTGGTCTAGTGGATGATGGTATGAAAGATGAGATCCTAAATTTGAGAATTGTTTTGTCTGATAGGACTGATTTTCTGGTCTGGAAATTGAATGATTCTGGGCAATTTTCGATCAAATCAGCTTGGCAAGTGGTAAGGCATGTTGGGAATGAAGATGTGGTGGCTAAAGCAATATGGGATCAGGCTGCTCCACCTAGTGCTAAGTTGTTTTGCCGGAAAATTAGCAAAGGTGCAGTGGCTTTGGATGTTCAGTTTCAGAAGTTGGGGGTGAAATTAGCGAGTAGATGTTCGCTATGTTATAAAGCAATGGAATCCGGAGCTCATGTGTTTGTTCGCTGTGACTTTGCTGTAAAGGTATGTCAATACTTGGCTGGTTTTTTTGGGTTTATTTTGATTGAGAATGAGGTCCTATGGAAAGATTAATGAGATTAATAAGAATTTTTAGAAAATAGTCCCTTAGTCATATCCTAGTTAGGAGTGTGGCTTTGGTTTTTTTTTGGTTATTATAGAGGGAGAGATGTAGAAGGGTTTATGGGGAGGGATGTTTGTCTGCCTTTTCTATTTTTCAGAAAGCTTGTACTGTCATTAGGCTACAAGCCTTTGGTATTCGGCCTAGAGTTCCTGACAGTATAAATGGGGAGAGAATTTTGCAAGAATTGGGGGTTACAAGTCGTGGTAAAATTCAAATAAAAGCAGTGTGGGTTAATTGGTCCTGCCCAATGGAGGTGTGTTTGAAATTAAATGTGGATGGAGCCTCGAAAGGGAATCCGAGACGTGCTGGTGGTGGTGCTGTGATTCGAAACCAGTGGGATGATTTGGTGGTTGCAGGGTCTTTTTTTTATGAAAACTATTCTAACATGGAGGCAGAGCTAAAGGCATTGAAAGATGGTATATGTCTTGTTGAAAAATATGATTTGCAGGGGTACCGAATTCAAGTGGAGGTTGATTCTGAAATTATGGTTAATATGGTCATGAAGGGGCACTTACGTGTTTGGAAATATTGGGAATTGCTGAGGCAAATTAAGGAGATTTTGGAGAGATTAAATTTTCATTTGACACGTGTAAAGGGAAGGCAATTCGGCAGCTGACTTCTTTGCAAATTGGGTAGTGCAATGTGGATGTTCTTTGGAGTTCTCTGCTGCCTTGGATATTCCTCATCCTGCTAAGGGATTGTTGCTGCTTGATAAGCAAAGGCATAAATTTTTCAGAAAGAAAATTGTATTTTCTTGATTCTCATTGTATAGGTTGGCAAAAGCAAATTGTAAAGGCAGGAATGTCTGTTTTTTTCTTTGATTGTAAAATTTTGGTTATGGAATAAAAGTGTTGATTTGTTTAAAAAAAAAGTTTAGGATTTAGGGTTTAAGCAAGGTTTACAGAGGGCAGTTATTGTTTCTAGAGAGAGAAGCTCCCACTTCTCTCTACGTTTTCCTTTGCTTTTGCGTTCTTTAGCTTCCTTCCGTTTTGGTCTGCTAATTTATTATGGATTCAGTCCAGATTCTTAACAAAATTCCACCAAAACCATCGGATCTTTCACAGTTTCCCACTACAATCCCAAAAAATTCGCTACATCCTTTAAACCCACCGAAATCGGTACAGTTTACCGATTCTGGTCAACACGAAACAAAAACCTCAAGACAGTTACAAGACATCGACCAAACCCCCTCCATGCCCTCTGCGAGTTCTACCGTTCAGCACAGATCAACCATAACAAAGAACTTTGCATCCTTGTTTATGAAACCCTCATTTATCCCACCTGTTTCGGCGCCATCTTCTTCTTCACATCCTCCGATGCCTATGATTACCCCTTATTCTTCCAGTCCAAATCTTTCGGTGCCTATGGCAAATCCTTCAGAGCCTATGAAAAATCCCTCGGTGCCCATGGCAAATACTTCGGTACCCATGACCAATCCCTCGATGCCTAAGGCAAACCCGCAGATATCTTCGGCAACGATGGCAGATCCTCGATCGATCGAGGGACTATCTTCCCCGGTCCCTTCAGCCTCTCTACTCAGTACAGCAAAAAGGGTAGTGTACAACAATGGTGAACCTGGGATATATTGGTCCCTTGATGAAACTTAGGCCCTAGCCACGAAATTCCACCAAACCTTAATAGGTAAATGCGCCTATGGGAAACCATCTATTGGAGTCATCAGGGAGTTCATTGCCACAAGATGGGTTCCAAAGGGCAACTTCATTGTTGGAGTATTGGACCCAAGACACGTTCTCATCAGTTTTGACCTCTATGAAGACTATGTCAAAACATGGCTGAAAGACGCAACATACATCGAAGGATTTCTATTCAGGTTCTTTAAATGGTTCCCGGAGTTCCTGCCCAGAATTGAGCCACCGGTGGTTCCTATTTGGATTTCGCTCCCAGGTTTGCCAATTCACCTGTTCGATAAGGAAAGCCTCCGTGACATTTTGAGCCCCATTGGGAAAATCATCGTAATAGACTCATCCACTCTCCAATTGGCAAGGCCAGGGGTGGCTAGGGTGTGCGTGGAAGTCAACTTGTGGCGGATAATCCCCTACGTATTTGGTTGGACTTTGGAGGAACAAGTGGGCGTTGGCAGAAAATTGTTTATGAAAAATCAGTGAAGTATTGCGTGGGTTGTCTGAAGCAAGGCCACCGAAACATGGAATGTCGTGAAGGCAAAAGAGAAGAGGGGGAATTAGTGGATTTGCAAGAAAATGTCCCAAAGGAGAAAGAGAAGCAGAAAGCTGGAATCCCCAAAAAGGCTGATGAATCAAAGGGGAAAAGAAAAGGAATGGCAGAATGTTATAAGGAAAGGAAACTCCAAAGCATCCTTGAAAGAGAATCAACAAGCAACTCAAGGAAACAGCAAGTCAAATGAGTCAAGAGAAGGAGGGGAGGATGTTAGTAACAAATTTAACGCACTTCGTGGTTAGCATTCAGGTAACTATGTGGAGGCAGAGGCAAGCATTGAGGTGGTGCATTGTGAAGGCAATCCCAGCTACGTCAAAGGCGCAGGGAATAATGAAAATGAGGTTTTGATCTCCTCGGTGTTGGTTGACGTGAGGGGTCATGATTTGGGGATGGAGGCTGAGGATCTACTATTTGAAGAGGATGCTGATGTTAGCACTGATAAAAGGAAGGAAAGTGCTAAGGGTGACTTTATAACCCATACCCAAGGGGAAGGGGATAAGGAGGGGCTTCATGAAGGTAATCCGGTATGCCTATTGAATCAACAAACCCTTCCTTCGAATTCCTCCTCTTTTACCGCAGCTTGTTGATCCATCTGATAATGAGAAAATGACTATGGCTGCTACCTTACCAGAACTAAAACAGGTTGTCTTCTCTATGTCGGTGGAAAGTGCCCCAGGAGCTGATGGTTTTTCTGGTAGGTTCTTCCAAGTGGCATGGGATATTGTTAAAAATGACCTGTTGGAGGCGGTTAATTTTTTCTTGGGTGGGGGAGAGATCCCAAGGTCAATGAATTCTACTCTCCTAATTTTGATACCTAAAGTGGCAAATCCCAGCTCTTTCTCTGATTTTAGGCCAACTAGTCTCTGCAATTTTCTCTATAAAATCTTCACGAAGGTCCTTTCCAATAGACTTGCGGTTCTCCTGCCTTCTCTGATCTCTAATGCACAACACGACTTTGTCAAAGGGAGAGGGATAGGGGATTGTATCTCATTAGCCCACCTAATGGTTGGTGAACTTGATAGAAAGGTGGAGGCTGGCAATGTGATTTTAAAATTGGACATGATGAAGGCGTACGATCGCATGGAATGGGATTTTTTAGAAAAAACTTTGAAATGCTTTGGCTTTTCAAATCTCTTTATCTCCATCGTTGGTAATTGCTTGAAGAATCAATTTTTTTCGGTTTGCTTGAATGGGAAAAGGTTTGGCTACTTTCCCTCGTCTAGAGGATTGAGACAAGGTGACCCGATTTCCCCAGCTCTTTTTATCCTGGCAGAGGAAGTCTTAAGCAGGGGTTTGACGAAGCTTTATGGAGAAGGTAGGGTCAAAGCCTTTCATGCAGGAAGGGGTTCTCTTCTTATTTCTCATCTTCTTTTTGCAGATGATACTCTGCTGTTTCTGAGGGGAAATAAACTCTCCTTGGAATGTCTGAAGAAGTTTTTGGCTAGTTATGAGAACAGCTCTGGACAGAGAATAAGCAAGCAAAAAAGTTCTCTAATTTGCTCATCTAACATTCCCCCGGGCAGAAAAATGGTACTATCTAGAATCCCTCAAATTCCGATTAAAAAGTGTCCCTTCAATACCTGGGATGTCCAATGATAAAAGGAAGGTATAAATTGCGGGACTTTGAGGAAGTGATCCAAAAGTTCAAGGCAAAACTTGAAGGGTGGTATGCATGCCTCCTCTCAAACATGGGTAGGGTCGTGCTTATTCAATCGGTCCTCAATGCGGTTCCTATCCATTTGCTATCTTGCATAAGCGTTCCCAAAGGCATCCCAGTAAAGTTGAAGTCCTTGATGGCTTCTTTCATGTGGTCAGGCAGGATGGGAGAGAGGAAAAGGCAATGGGTTTCATGGACGGATATTTCAAGACCAAAGCAAGAAGGGGGTCTTGGAATTTGAAATTTAGAAGATATCCAAACTGCATTCCGTTGGAAGCAGGTGTGGGGAATTCTCACGGGTGATTCTCTTTGGGCAAACATGTTTAAAGAAAAATTCTTAAATGACAAACACATGCTGAGGTGCCTAGGTACTGGTAAAGCTCGTATTTCTCGCATGCCGCAGCCTTTTTTCAGCTCGGTCCTTGACAACTATCAGCTTATGGTGGGAAATGGTAGGACTGTGGACTTTTGGTGCTCGAACTGGACTGGTTCTGCCCCTTTACTGCTCAGGCATGGTGTTTTTCCCTTGTGTTTTCCACGTCTGGATGTGGTATGGGCAGAAGGGGACTGGCAATGGCAATTGTTGGGGGTCCAGGTTTCTGACCAATTAAAGCATGAAATCCAAACTTCTGGGATTGCCTTATGTGAAAAAGAAGATCGTGTTATATGGAAATTAACTGACTCAGGAGAGTTCAATGTCAAATCTGCTTGGCGATCTGGAACCAATCTGTCTTCCCAAGTGGCTAAACTGCTGGGATGGAAGATACATAAGAATGCGGTGGTGGTGGACTCTAATTTCCAACGAATAGGCGTTGAATTGGCTAGCAGTTGCCCCATGTGCCGTGTGGATGTGGAATCTACTACTCACCTGTTCATACAATGCGGATTTGCTAAAGAAGTATGGGGGAAGCTTGCTGCATTTTGCGATTTTCAGATCTTCTCGGCTGATTCTCCTATGGTTCGTATGATGAGGCTTCACAGAATTTTTAAAAAACACTCTGTTAGCCATAACCTGTTAAGAGGAGTTTCTTTGGTTGTCTTTTGGAGACTATGGAGGGAACGATGCAGAAGAGTCTATGAAGATACCTCACTCTCGGCCTATACGGTGTTTCTTGATATTTGCTCCACTCTGCGTCTTCAGGCTTATGGAGTTAGACCCAAGGCAAAGGAAGGCATGATGGGCATGGATTTCTTGAAAGCTTTAAAGGTGGAGATAAGACGAGCTGGAACCAAGGATCATTTGGATTAACTGGACCCCTCCTCCCTCAGGCTGTTTAAAGCTAAATGTGGATGGGGGATCGAAAGGTAGTCATGGAAGAGCTGGGGGAGGAGTTGTGGTTAGGAATGAATGGGGGCACATTATTTTGGCTGCCTCTTTCTCTTTTGAGGTTTGTTCAAACATAGAGGCCGAGTTGTATGCCCTCAAGGATGGTTTATTGTTGTTTAGAAGCTATGGGCTGATTGACTATGCACTCCAAATTGAAACTGATTCAGAGGTGATGGTCCAAATGGTGATGAAAGGACACATGAGGGCCTGAAAATTTTGGAAAATTTGTGATGAGATCAGGGGTTTATTGGAGGGCATGAATTTTAGCCTATCCCATGTATACAGGGAAGCGAATTTCTTAGTTGATGGTCTTGCTAACCTAGCAGTTTTGGAGGGTTCCTCATCTGATTTCACACGTGATTTGAAGATTCCTCTGCAGGCCAAGTTAATTCAGATGCAGGATCAACAGGGCGTTAAAACACCAAGAAAAAAATTCTCCCCTGGATTGATTCTCTAAATGGACCCATCAATCGAGCTGGGGCTTTTTGTTCTCGTTGCTTGGGCAACATATTCTCCTTTCATGCGGCAGTGGGGATTTTCATGTCGCTTGTCTCCAGGCTTTTCAGCTGATGAGAGAGCTTCCAGCTGTTGATCTGTAATTTTTTGGAAAGGCAGCACTGTTCACGCGACCATTCACGTGAACAGCCTGATTGTTTGTTGCTGCGGCCTTCTCAGCTGCACTCTGCTATTGCTACCGTTGATTTGCAGGGTTTCCAGTTGCTTGCACACATTTTGGTCAGCTGATTTTTCAGCTTCGCTGACTGCTGGATTTCTGCTGGCTCTCTTGTTTTTGTCTTCATGCTGGGATGTTTCTACGGTTCTGCTTTGCTGGCCTTCTCTGTTTTTTAGCTGGATCCTCCTACGCCTTCCTGCTGGTTCCAAGGCTTGCGGGCTGCAAAGCAGAGGCCCCTTCTCTGGCTTTGATCAACATCACTGTTCATGCGACTGTTCACCCTCCTGTTCATGTGCACTGCATGCTGGTTTTCAACTAGCTATCAGCTGGAATTTCAGCTGGTTATTCCCTGCTTCATCTGGTTTCTCGCCTGGCTTTTCAGCGAGTTCTCAGCTACATTTCAGCTGTTTTCTCTGCTGTTTTTCTGTTGTTGTTTATGGCTGCTGCTGATGGTCTGTTCTGGCTATGCATTGGGCTGTTTGCTGTTGCGCTGGGATGCTGGTGATGGTTTTCTCAGCTGGTTTTGGTTGCATTGCCCCTGCTCATGTTTCCAGCTCCTTTTGCTGCTACAGCTGGTTTTTTCAGTCACTCTCTTTTGCAATCATTGCTGGTATTCCACGGTTCTGCACAACGGGTTTTCAGCTGGACTTCCAGCTGGTTTCAACGGGTTTCCAGCTGGTATTTCAGCTGGTTCCTCATGCCTTCGTTGCGTTTCGCTGCTGGCACTTATGGGCTCAACTGGTTATGCTTCTTGTTTTTTCCAGCTGTTGTTCCAGCTTGGGTTTGTTGGCTGCACCTTCCTGGTCCCATCTCCATGGCTTTAGCTTTATGCTGGATGTTTTTTGTTCTTTCAGCTAAGGTTTTTCTTTTTATTTTTTTGCGGTTATATTGCGGTTTGCCTAGCTGGTTTTGGTTTTCTGCTGGCATCTTGTTCTTTTGCGCCTACAGCTGGGTTTTCAAGGTTTCTGCGACCTTGGTTTCTTTTGGGGCTTATCAGCTGATCCATTTTGGCCTTTCGGGAACACATTGTTCTGGTTCTAGCTTCTTGCTGCGCTGCACTAGTTTTAACTGTGGGATGAATGTGGTTTTTATTGGTTGTTCAGTTGGTCCTTTGCGCCTTTGGCCTTTGTTGTTGTTTCTTTGCCTTTTATTTTGAAGGATTAAAGCCACCTACGGCTTTTCCTCTTGTATTAAAGCTCTGCTCCTTTGCTTCTTGTAATTTTGGATTATATCAATATATTTGCCTTTAAAAAAAAAAGGGTTTAGGATTTAGGGTTTAGGAGGAGGCAATCCTTGTTTTCTAGTGAGAGAAGCTCTCACTTCTCTCTACCTTTACTCTTTTTTCATTGGTTCTTGCTTTTTTCGGTTGGTTCTGAGCATTTATTATGGATTCTACCCAAGTTTTGAACAAAATCCCACCAAAACCACCTGATATTCCTCAGATTCCCATCATAACCCCTCATATTTCGCTAAATCCCCCACCCAAATCACAAATCATCACCAAAATTTTACATCCTTATTCAAGAAACCCACGTACATCGGAAACGTACCCATCATTCCTACTGGTTCTGTGTCGTTTCCTTCTCCTTTTGTTAACCCTCTGGGCTGTAATAACTCCATCCATATGCCTCCCCCTCCTCCTTTACACCATTATCAGTTGATTGCTAACTTCACATCACCGCTGCTATTCCCTTCGACTGCGAGCACACCGGTGAACACTCAAATCTCTTCACCAGCATTAGGAATTCAAATCTCAAATGTTACGCCTAACATTCAGATCTCTCGCGATGCCAACTTACCACATTCTCAAACCTTATTTCCTACGCAAGGACCTATGTTTCAAGCAGGTGCCTCATCTTTCCAGAAAAACCAAGATGTTCTGATCCCTCCTGTAAGCATCCCAGCTGGCCCTTTTATCTCTGCATCCTTTTCCAAGCCTGCAAAAAGGGTTGTCTTCAACAATGGGGAACTAGGTATGTACTGGTCCCCATATGAAACTCAAGAACTCCCTAGGAATTTTAACCTGACCTTGATAGGCAAGTGTGCTTATGAAAAACCATCATTAGGAGTTGTGAAGGAGTTTATCAACACAAGGTGGCTGTTGAAAGGAGACTTTATCATTGGAGTGTTGGACCCAAGGCATATTCTCATTAGATTTTCTAATTATGAAGATTATGTTAAAGTATGGCTCAAGGATACCATATACATTGAGGGCTTCCTATTCCAGTTCTTTAAGTGGTTTCCAGAATTTTATCCTGGAATTAAACCTCCTTTGGTTCCTGTTTGGGTTTCCCTGCCAGGGCTCCTTATCCATATTTTCAATTGGGAGAGTCTAAGAGATATTCTAAGCCCTGTAGGAAGAATCCTAGTTATTGATAATGCTACTTTGCAACTGACAAGGCCGGGAATTGCTAGAGTTTGTGTTGAGATGAACCTATTGGCCATTAATCCAAGGCGTTTTTGGTTAGATATGGGTGGGACAAGTGGTAGGTGGCAAAGAATTGTGTATGAAAAGGAATATAAATACTGTCCTGTTTGTTTTAAGCAAGGACATGATGATTCTCTGTGTAGAAAGAAGAACAAAGAGGAGGGTGATGTTGTTACTGAGAAGGCCTCTGCTCAAGCCAATGGTTTTAACCATGAAGAAGGTTGGCAGCATAGAAAAGGGAAAGCTATAGCTAATGATGTTCATAAAAGCAAACCAAGAAAAGAGTATAGGCATAAGAATGTAGCTAAAGAGCCAGTAATGCTTAATAGCTTTGCTGTTTTAAATGATGCCAATGAAAGGATGGAGGTTGAGAATGTTATGGAGAGGGATGCCGAGGCACAACAAAAGGGAGATATTGGGGATGAACCTTTGAATTTTAATCCTGTTCAAGTGCCAGAAGAATCTCAGAATGGAAAGGAGAATTCAAATTTGCTGCAGACTGGGGAAAGGCATTTGGTCCTTCGGCTATGGATGGCATTAATCTAGAGTCTAATGATGGACTAAGGAAGGACGTAAATGGAACTGGTACTACGGCTGATCTTTATCCAGTGGAAAATGCTGCTGAGGATTTCGTGCAGATGAATGTTGCAGTGGATGCTTGTGATAATGTGGGGAGTAGTTTGGAGGTTTTCTCTTCCCCTCCTCTGGCTACTTTTACTACTAATGTTATTGAAGGCTTAAATGTTGTGACGTTGGAGGAGGTGGAGGATGTTATAATGAATACCATTGGGAGAAGAAAGGAAGTCAGGGAACATTTGGAGGATTGTAATGTCCTTTATGCCCCATCTTTGGGGTCATCTTTTTTGGTGGACCATGAGTATGCGGCAAGGAGAGGAGGTATAGATGTTGTGGATGATCAACTGGGACTGGTGAGTGATAGGTTGCCTCCTGATAAGGGGTACTTTCAGACCAAGGCAGCTCTGATACTCATAGAGAAGTAGTTGGTGAATCTGATAACTCCTTTCATGAGGAGGACGAAGTTACTAGAACTAGCTCTAGTGGAGTGTCTCCCTCTTTTAACTTATGATGAATCTCATTTCCTGGAATATGAGGGGTGCAGAGAAGGATGGTAAAAGAAGGAGACTAAAGAAATTGATAAAGTTGAATGATGTTTGCTTTGTAGCTATTCAGGAGCCTAAACTGTTGGTAAGTAAATGGCTTGGCTTTGCCAAGTGTATTGGCATGAAACACTTTTGTGCTAATACTTTAGCAGAGAGGAACACTTGGATATTATGGGATGATAGAGTTAAAATCAAAGTTCTTTTTGAGCACGAGCAAGCTTTAACTGTAGAGCTCAGTTTTATGAATAATGAGATATACTGGCTTTCTGTGGTCTATGCAAAATGTAAGTAGATTTTGAGAGGAGATTTATGGCTGCATTTGAATGATTTGCTTATTCCTGTAAATATGCCTTGGCTTGTTGGGGACTTCAATACCATTTTGTCCTCTGATGAACGAAAGGGGGGAGCATTCCCTTCTTTTTCCTCTATGGAGGAATTTGGTGACTTCTTGGACCACAGGGGATTGTTGGATTGTGGCTTTAGTGGCAATAAATTTACCTAGTGTGATAATAGACAGGGTCATATTAAAATGTTGCAAAGGTTGGATAGAGCCTCGAGGAATGGAAACAGGGGTATCAAGTATAAGAGTACGAAGGTTGTGCATCTTATCAGGGTTTAGGGTTTAGGTTTTTTTAGGATTTATGGTTTGGGGTTTAGGATTTCGGGTTTAGAGTTTAGGGTTTAGGGTTTTTTAGGATTTATGATTTGGGGTTTAGGATTTCGGGTTCAGGGTTTGGGGTTTGGGATTTAGGGTTTGGGGTTTGGGGTTTTCGGGCTTAGGGTTTAAGGTTTAGGGTTTAGGGGTTTAGGGTTTAGGGGTTAGGGTTTAGAGTTTTGGGTTTTGGGTTTTGGGTTTTAGGGTTTTAGGGTTTAGAGTTTAGGGTTTAGGGTTTAGGTTTTAGGGTTTAGGGTTTTAGGGTTTAGGGTTTAGGAGACAGTTACTTCGTTCTAGAGAGAGAAGGTCTGACTTATCTCTAGAAACTGTTTATTCTTTTTCCAGATCTACTTTGTTTTTGACTGAATTTTCACGTTTTGATTGTAAATTCTTTGGATTCTTACTGATTCTTTCTTGATTTACCATGAATTCTAGTCCAGAACCTCGTCAAATTCCCCCAAAACCACCAGACATCACAAAAAATTTTGCCTCCTTGTTCAGGAAACCGTCAGTTGTGAATAATTCTCAAACACGTCCTGTTGCTTCAGAGATTAATTCCTTCACATTTGTGGATCCTTTTGGATGTTTTAATTCCATGACTATGCCTCTTAATTCAAACGAAAATCGAAGAAAGTCGAATGTTCAATTTGCCTCTGTTCTTCCTTCGACTGTGTCAGTTTCTGCGGAAAATCAAAATTCTTCTTCGAGGTTAGGAACTCAGGTTCCTATTGATTCCTCCATTGATCGAAACACTCAGGGAACGAATTTATTGCCTCAACCTTCTTTGATTTCTCATCTAATTTCGACTTCGAAAGGTATTTCGATGGATCGAGTTTTACCAATTTCTCATATCTCTGATTCTGAGAAAGGAATTCAGACTCCAGTTGTTATTTCGAATGTTGATCTTATAACTTCTCTAATCACACCAAGACTTGGCCTTCCATAAGCACACTTGCCTATTAATGCATATTGCAGAGACTGACAAGACTGCTTAACCTCCTCATTAGTAAAGTAGAAAGTTGGTTCTCCTTCATAGAAAACAATAGGTTTATCAATCTTAACAGCTGGTTCCTCCACACAACGATTGATTGAATTTTTGAACAAAGAGGCGTAGGTTGGATGGGGATGTAGGTGATAATCTTGTAAATTTAGATGTTGATCTGCTGAATTTTGATGTTGATCTAGTTGTTTAGAATATGAATCTTTTGTTTTGGATGACTGATTTGGTGGCTGGGACTCTAGATTTGGTGGTTTTGGTGGGATATTAGTTGTGTTTGGTGATGAACTCATAAGATAAGAAAATTCTAGAGAGAAGTCAGAGCTTCTCTCTATAGAACTGCAAAAAAGTCAAACCCTCCTAAACCCTAAATCCTAAACCCCTAAACTTTGACATAACTTTTTCTCCCAAACTCCGATTGAGCTAATTCTTATGGCATTATGAAGAGAACTTGAAACTCTACCCAGTTTAATGAGGTGAAAATTTACGAATTACCCTCTATCAAGGTCGAAATTGGGATGCAATTTTGGTGTAGTTTGTCATTCGCCTCCTCAAGGAAAAGTAATTTTCCCAGCTTTAGTATTTTTGACATAACTTTTTACTCCGATCTCCGATTCAGCTGATTGTTGTGGCATTGTAAACAATTCTTGAATCCGAAACCAATTTTTTCACATCAAAAGTCAAGAATCATCCTTTATCAAGGTCTAAATTGCAACGAAAGGTTGGTATAGTATGTCGACTACCTCTAAAGATTAACAGTATTTCTGACATAATCTTTTCCTCCGATCTCTGATTGAGCTGATTCCAGTGGCATGCTAAAGAGTAATTGAATGCCTAATCAGTTTACTAAAATCAAAATTCATGAATCCTCGAATAACATGGTCAAAATTGTAATGCAAGTTTGTTGTAATAAGTCATCCGCCTCCAAAATAAAACTGTATTTCTGACATGACTTTTTCTCCCAAATTTTGGTTGAGCTAATTCTAGTGGAATTAGAAAGAGAACTTGAAACTCTACCCAGTTTCTTGAGATCAAAATTCACAAATCAACCTCTATCAAGGTCAAATTTGTAATGCAAGTTTGGGGTTGTTTGTCATTCGCCTCCTGAAGGAAAAGTAATTTCCCCTACTTTAGTATTTCTGATATCACTTTTTAGTCTGATCTCTGATTCAGCTGATTCTTGCGGCATTGTAAAGAATTCTTGAATCTAAAACCAGTTTATTCACATCAAAAGTCCTGAACCATCCTCTAGCAAGGTATGAATTGCAACGAAAGGTTGATAGAGTAATTGAATGCCTAATCAGTTTACTGGGATCAATATTCATGCATCCTCCAACAACATGGTCAAAATTGTAATGTAAGTGTGGTGTAATAAGTCATCCACCTCCAAAATGAAACTGTATTTCTGACATAAATTTTTTCTCTAGAAATTCGATTGAGCTAATTCTTGTGCCATTAGAAAGAGAACTTGAAACTCTACCCAGTTTACTGAGATAAAAATTCACAAATCAACCTCTATCAAGGTCAAAAATGTGATGCAACTTTGGTGTAGTTTGTCATTCGCCTCCTGAAGGAAAAGTAATTTCCCCTACTTTAGTATTAATGAAATAACTTTTTAATGCAAGTGTGGTGTAATAAGTTATCCGCCTCCAAAATGAAACTGTATTTCTGACATAACATTTTCTCCCGAATTCTGTCTGAGCTAATTCTTGTTGCATTAGAAAGAGAACTTGAAAGTCTACCCAGTTTATTCAAATCAAAATTCCCAAGTCAACCTTTATCAAGGTCGAAATTGTGTATGTAAGTTTTGTGTAGTTTGTCATTCGCCTCCTAAAGGAAAAGTAATTTCCCCTACTTTAGTATTTCTGACATAACTTTTTCCTCCGATCTCTGATTCTGTTGATTCTTGCGGCATTATAAAGAATTCTTGAATCGAAAACCAGTTTATTGACATCAAAAGTCATGAATCATCCTCTAGCAAGGTCTGATTTGCAACGAAAGGTTGGTATAGTACGTCATCCACCTCCGAAGGGAAATAGTATTTCTGACATAAATATTTCCTCCCATCTCCGATTGAGCTTATTCCAATGGCATTCTAAAGAGTAATTGAACGCCTAATCAGTTTACTGAGATCAAAATTCATGAATCCTCCAATAACATGGTCAAAATTGTAATGCAAGTGTGGTGTAATAAGTGATCCGCCTCCAAAAAAAATTGTATTACTGACATAACTTTTTTTCCCGAACTCCAGTTGATGTAATTCTTATGGCATTAGAATGGGAACTTGAAACCCTACCCTGTTTATTCAGAGAAAAATTCAAAATTCAACCTCTATCATGGTCGAAATTGTGATGCAAGTTCGGTAAAATTTGTCAATCGCCTCCGGAAGGAAAAGTAATTTCCCCTACTTCAGTATTTCTGACATAACTTTTTACTCTGATCTCCGATTCAGCTGATCCTTGTGGCATTGTAAAAAATTCTTGAATCCAAAACCAGTTTACTCACATCAAAAGTCATAAATCATCCTCTAGCAAGGTCTTAATCTCAACGAAAGGTTGGTATAGTACGTCATCCACCTCCGAAGGAAAACAGTATTTCTGACATAATTTTTTCCCCCGATCTTCGATTGAGTTGATTCCAGTGGCATTCTAAAGAGTAATTGAATGCCTAATAAGTTTATAGAGACCAAAATTCTTGAATCCTCCTCCCATAACATGGTCTAAATTGTAATGCAAGTGCGGTGTAATAAGTCATCTGCCTCCAAAATGAAATTGTATTTCTGACATAACTTTTTCTCCCGAACTCCGATTGAGCTAATTTTTGTGAAATTAGAATGAGAACTTGAAACTCTACCAAGTTTATTCAAATTGAAATTAGCAAATCAACCTCTATCAAGGTAGAAATTGTGATGCAAGTTTAGTGTAGTTTCTCATTCACCTCCTTAAGGAAATGTAATTTCCCCTACTTTAGTATTTCTCACATAACTTTTTCCTCTGATCTTTGATTCAGCGAATTCCTTCAGCATTCTAAAGAATTCTTGAATCCGAAACCAGTTTACACACATCAAAAGTCATGAATCATCCTCTAGCAAGGTATGAATTGCAACGAAAGGGTTGTATAATACGTCATCCAACTCCGAAGGGAAATAGTATTTCTGACATAAATTTTTCCTCCGATCTCCGATTGAGTTGATTCCAATGGCATTCTAAAGAGTAATTGAATGCCTAATTGGTTTACTATGATCAAAATTCGTGAATCCTCCAATAACATGGTCGAAATTGTAATGCAAGTGTGGTGTAATAAGTAACCCACCTCCAAAATAAAACTGTATTTCTGACCTAACTTTTTCTCCCGAACTCCGATTGAGCTAATTCTTGTGGCATTAGAACGAGAACTTGAAACTCTACCTGGTTTATTGAGATCAAAATTCAAAAATCAACCTCTATCATGGTCGATAATGTGATGCAAATTTGGGGTAGTTTGTCAATCGCCTCCTGAAGGAAAATTAATTTCCCCAACTTTAGTATTTCTGGCATAACTCCTTACTCTAATCTCCGATTCAACTGATTCTAGTGGCATTGTAAAGAATTCTTGAATCCGAAACCAGTTTGTTCACATTAAAAGTCCTGAATCATCCTCTAGTAAGGTCTGAATTACAACGAAATGTTGGTATAGTACGTCATCCACCTCCGAAGGAAAACAGTATTTTTGACATAACTTTTTTCTCCGATCTCCGATTGAGCTGATTCCAGGGGCATTCTAAAGAGTAATTGAATGCCTAATTGGTTTACTCTATTCAAAATTCATGAATCCTCCAATAACATGGTCGAAATTGTAATGCAAGTGTGGTGTAATAAGAAATCCGCCTCCAAAATGAAACTGTATTTCTGACCTAAATTTTTCTCCCGAACTCCAATTGAGCTAATTCTTGTGGAATTAAAATGAGAGCTTGAAACTCTACCTAGTTTATTCAGATCAAAATTCACAAATCAACCTTTATCATGGCTGAAATCGTGATGGAAGTTTGGTGTAGTTTTTCAATCACCTCCTGAAGGAAAAGTAATTTCCCCTACTTTTGTATTTCTGACATAACTCTTTACTCCGATCTCCAATTCAACTGATTTTTGTGGCATTGTAAAGAATTCTTCAATTAGAAACCAATTTATTCACATTAAAAGCTATGAATCATCCTCTATCATGGTCAGAATTACAATGAAAGGTTGGTATAGTACGTCATCCACCTCCAAAGGGAAACAGTATTTCTGGCATAACTTTTTCTCCGATCTCCAATTGAGCTGATTCCAATGGCATTCTAAAGAGTAATTGAATGCCTAATGAGTTTACTTAGATTAAAATTCATGAATCATCCAATAACATGGTCAAAATTGTAATGCAAGTGTGGTGTAATAAGTGATCCGCCTCCAAAAAAAAACTGTATTTCTGACATAACTTTGTTTCCCCAACTCCAATTGAGGTAATTCTTGCGGCATTAGAATGAGAACGTGAAACTCTACCCTATTTATTCAGATCAAAATTCACAAATCAACCTCTATCATGGTCAAAATTGTGATGCACGTTTGGTAAAATTTGTCAATTGCCACCGGAAGGAAAAGTAATTTCTCCTGCTTTAGTATTTCCAACATAACTTTTTACTCTGATCTCTGATTCAGCTGATCCTTGTGGCGTTGTAAAGAATTCTTGAATCCAAAACCAGTTTACTCACATCACGAGTCATAAATCATCCTCTAGCAAGGTCTTAATCTCAACGAAAGGTTGATATAGTACATCATTCACCTCCGAAGGGAAACAGTATTTCAGACATAACTTTTTTGTTCGATCTCCGATTCAGCTAATTCCTATGGCATTCTAAAGAGTAATTGAATGCCTAATCAGTTTAGTCAGATCAAAATTCATGAATCCTCTCATAACATGGTTGAAATTGTAATGAT